TCAAAGTTTCACTCTATTAATTCTCGTTTTTGTACGTAGGGTAATTTGTCATTCCCTTAAGTGTAATACTGAATTTTCAGTTATTAAAACCGCCTGAAAATGAAATTATTATAGACTCGTAAAACTGTAATATTTTAAACTCCTGGCCTTTTGCAATTTTTTTTGCAAATATGTTGTAGTCGAAAAACTTTTTTGTCTGAGCCATTGGGTTCCGATCCCTCTATCTTTATTTGATTTTGAGGTTGGTCCAAAATTGTTAGCGTACTTGACTGTTTTTGATCTCGGTTAAGAATTAAATCCGTGTTCATGCATTTTGGCATATATTTTTGGGTGTCATACAGAACCGCTATTCATTGTAGTACATTTGTAGGATAATAATCGTAATCTAATTTTTAAGTAAGATTAAACAAAGTTTACTGCTCAGTATACAAAATTTTGGTAAACTTCACAAAACTTTAAGCGTTTTAAAAGCTTTAATGAAAATTAATGTTTTAAAGCACGAAGAAACGGGTTTATTTTATTTCTATGTTTTCAAACGTTTGGCCTATTACACCTTTGTTTATATCTACTTTTGATTCTCTGGAATTTTTTTAGTACGTTAGGCATTGACTTAATTTCATTCCTACAATAAGTGCTTTTTGCATTGATGCCTTTTTGTTCTAAGGACTTATCAATTCTAAACGATGTTCCTAATTTGAAAACCATGCCTGCTGGGAAAATTGAAATTACGCGGGATGATTTTGGTGCAATAGTTATATTTTTATCAAGAAGTACATTTTGATAAAAGCTTAGATATGGATAACTTTTGCTTCTTATAGTACTAATAGGAACTCTTACATCTGGGTATTTTTTTTAGTTCTAAGTTTAAATTCGGAAAGTTTATTGATTTAAAAATGTAAGAAATGAAATCCATTCCTAATATATTTAGATCGCATCCGTTCTCGGCTGAAATCCATGCTTTGATTTTTACCGGATTATCAGTGTTTGTACCAAAAGTTGATTCAAAATTAGTATAACCTATAAGTTTAACTTTTTCTCCATTAACAGCCACTGTGTTTGATCTTGATTTATTCAGCTGTAGAGGCTGTATTTTACAATATTGATCATAACTGTCGAAATTAATAAGCGAACATGTTGCTCCAGTGTCTAGTAGAAATTGGGTTTCCAGACCGTTATTTTTATTTTTGTCTCCGACGGGATGTTGGTATAAGTTAATATACAATTGTATTTTTGGTTCAGACGGAGACTGATTTAGTTTAAATTCACAAGTTCACACTCATTATCGGTATAGTCTCCTGGAATGTCATCATCACTAAAGTTGTGGATCTGGTAAGGTGAATGATAATCGTTATTTTCGTTGAAGTGTTTCTTACTGTTCGACCTGTCACGCGATTGAGAACTTTCATTGAAGTTTGACAAGTGCCTGAACTCTTGCTGAGAGTTTATGTCATTGAAATTGTTGTCTACTCTTGACCTACTCTTGCTATAGTTATGGTGACTTCTGTTTGTATTCTCTCTTAATTGAAGCGAGTTATAATTTTGCTCCTGTTGATCGTTATATTTAAAGCAATGGCTTATCGTGTGGCCTGACATGCAACACCAGTTGCAAAACATTGGGTTGTTTTGTTTGTTTCTATGCTCATGTGGATTATAGGCTGCGTTTATTTTATGATCTTTCATTAGTCCTGTTAACTCCTTAAGCTGATCCTTTATTCCTTCTATCTCCAACTTATTATCAACACTACTTGAGGCTGTTCCAGTAAACTCACTACTTACTGCAAAACTTAAGTCTTTTGTTGCAATATGATCTTTTAATTGTTGCCATGTTGCGGGTGGATTCTCAATTAGGAATTGATGAGCCTTTTGTTTCAAGCCTGGCGGGCTTAAGCCGCGTACAAAGAATTCCATTTTCTTTGCTGTTCTTTGATCATCATTAAAAGTTGGATTAGGCCATCCACGGTCTACTGCGGTGCTTAATCTATGTATGTAGCTTTTAATGAATTCATCAGGTGGTCTTTTTATGTTTTCTGCTTCTATTCGTCTCCTATACTTATCTTTATCATCAGTGAATCTATCTATGAATTGATCTCTTATATCATTCCAAGGTAAGTTTGCTGCTAATCCCTGATACCATTGAGCGGCTGGACTTCTTAATATTGAACCAAATAAGGCTCTTTGTCTGTTATCATATGCGTCTTGTTCGTCACCTGCATCTCCTGGTCTAGTGCCCAGGGAAAATGCTATCTTTTTCTCTACTATATCAAGAAAATCTCTTGCATCTTCATTCGGATCTAAGCCGGTAAACTTTTCGAGAGCTAAATCTGGGTATGCTACTACGTTTGCCATCTTTGTTTAATTAACTCAATGTTTTGTTAACAATATATAAAGGGTTTGGATGTGTTGTGTACTGATCAATTGTTCGGACTGAAATAATTGTATTTAAGTTACAATGAAGTTTGCTGGGTTCAATGAATACGAATTTTTGTTAGATAGATCAATAGTGCTATGGGGCTGATTAAGCTTTTTTAAGATGGAAGTTATCTCTGGGATATTGCTGCTGGAAAGAATGGTTAATTCGTGAATATTTTTGTGTGGGTGTTTGGACAAAATTGTGATTTGATCTTTTTGGATATTGGTGATATACCAAATAATTTTTGTGGATTTATTTTTTCAATTTTAGTTTTAAATTAAATGCTGTTGTATTTACTTGATAAAAGTTGGTCATAGCATTTTACATTCCTTTAGGGACATAAATATTTATCTAGGGAATGATAAACAATATAAAAAATATTTAAATTTTTCTTATGAACTTGTTATTATTTTTAATTTTTGTTAAGGAAAATTTTGTGTTTTTAATTAAAAATGATTAAAATGCAAGTAGTTTTGTGCTTGGGTATATTATGATATCAGAAAGCAATCGGGAGTGAAGCAATTAATCGCTCTTCCGGTATACAAATTATGTTATTTGGTATTTTTATTTGCTGAAGAATTGTGGGTTCGGGGTTCGGGGTTCGTTAGGGTGTTTTGCTAATATACTAATATGATTTTTTTCAGTGTTAGTGATATACCATATGATGTTAGAGACTGTATTTCCTAATTTGAGCTTTAAATTTATTGTACTGACGTCAATTTTAAAATGTGTTGACATTAATTTCACGATGTTTGTTTTCTTTTTCTTAAGCCAAGTTGTACTATTTGATTAGTATGTCTTAGAGTAATGAAAACCTCTTAGGAATTTTTGAATATTAACAAAGGTTATTAATAATAAGATAAGGAAATAAAAATTTTCTTTGGAAAAAAAAAATTTTTCTAAAATTTTTTCTAAGTTTTTCAAGTTTTTTATTTGCTGATTCCTTAACTGAAACCTAAAACTTTGTTCAAGTGAAGTTTTGTTGATGCTATGGTATGGTTAACAATATAACTATATGCCTTTATTGGTTATTATTGGTTCAAAACTTAATTTTTTTGTTAAAAATTTATAGAAAATTTTTTGACTGAAACGATAATCTGAAACCTGAAACTATGGTAGCTGAAGTTGAGTTTTTTTTAATCTTAAAATTTTATATACGCTTTATTATATCTGGTTTTCGCTTTATCTTGCAAAAAAAATTCGAGAAAACCGAATCTTTTGATATCTTAAACTTAGTTTTTGAAAACTCAAACCTGAAACTCTTAAACTCTCTCAAACTCGGTGCATGAAAATAAAAAGTTGGTTTTTGATAGCTGGTCTAGTGTAAATTGGAATTTTGAACAGGTTTGTAACTTCAAAATCAAAAATTTGTTTGCGGAAACCTAAGTTTTTGCGGCTGAAACTATGATTTCTAGAACTGAAACTATGGTTTGACCACTTGGTTTTAGAGTTTTGAGATTGAAAATTTAGGTTGGTCTCTCTAATATATTTCTATTCCAGCAATAAAATTGCCAAAAAGATGAAAATTTTAGCTTAAAACGACGATTTTAGTTTTCTGAAACTATATGTTTGAGGGCTCAAACTAACACCTTCTAGAAGTTTTTTTGAGTTTAAAAATTTGTTAGTGCATTAAAGATTCTTATTATCTTTCAATATTTCACAAAAATTTTTCTCGGGAAGCAAGATTTTTGGTTCTGAAACCAAAAACACCAATTCTGAAACGTACGTTTCAGCCTTAGGAACCAAAATTTAAAATTGGTTTGGTGGGTTTTAACACCGTTAGTTTTCTTTAGAAAGTCAAAATTCGGCGTTCGGAGCTCAATTTCGAGACCAAAAACTCAATTTTTGTGTTCTGAAACCTGAAACTAACAAAAACGTACCATTTAAGACCAGGTTTTTGACTTATGGTATCCAAATTTGGGTTTGACTAGTTCAACTTTTGCTGTTTTACCCGATACAGAAACTTGAAATTTTGACCGGAAACTATACTTATTTTAACTGAAACGTTTGAACCTATAACTGAAACCTAGACTGAAACCAAAAATTTTGGCTGGTAAAAATCAATTTTTTAGTGCTTATGCTATCATATGAAACCTATTTTATCAATATAAAGTGGATGTGTCAGTGTTTTAAACTTAGTTTTTGTTGTGAAACCTGATATTTTTGTGCTGAAACTAAAACTTGGTGTTTGGTGTTATGTGGTTAACGTTTAAGATTGGTTTTAGTGCGTAATCTTATTGTTAATTAGGTGTATATTTAAACTGTGTCAAAAAAAACTAATGATTTATCAAAAAACACTCAAATCCGTTCCTTCCTTTTTGGTTTTTGTTATTTTCTTCCTTAGTTTCAGTAATTGGTAGCTTTACTGATGGATGATTTAGGTTTAAGTTACGTTAAGGTGGTTAGAATTAAAATGAGTTTAAGAAAATTTGAGGATAAGCCTCGAGAATTGATGAAGGATTAGGATAAATAGCAACAACCGTGGATGGTTTGAGATAATGTGATGAAGAATTCAATTTATCATACAATTTAGGGTACTCTTAGATCGCACATATGACCACTTAACCCCCTCGAAAAAATAAATGAAGATATTTAATAAGTTTTTGAGCACTTTAGTTTAATACAGAATTTCGTTATTTTTAGTGATGATAACTTTAAACTAAAGTTTCGGCAAAACTTTAGTGGATTACTGGACAAAACGGGTATATCTTACTAGCGGACTTAGGCAGAGAACGATTCTTTCAGAAATTTTATATATTATTATAATAATAGATAATAGTTAAGTTCATGAGCTAATGTCAGTTAGAAAGCCGTCTAATAGACCTCGAGATGGAGGGATATCGTGGGCGACTGCTAGCGCAGGGGATGCATTTCGCAAGAACCCTACCAGGAATATCTCTCAAGTAGAAGACAATGAAATTGTGTTTCTATCGAAAGATACCCATTGTCTCTGGCTTTTTGAGGTTGAAAACTAATCTGACAAATACTCACAGATCCTAATAGTAATATATTTTTTGAATTTAAAAGCTGTTTCTAGTTTGTTGGAAAAAGAATTTCTTAAGGAGTAGTTCTCTGCTGTGGTCGCACCAGTTTTACTAAGCGCTCATTGCTGGTTGAATGCTTAGTAATTTTATCCTAAATTATAAGTCTCACCTTAGATCGTCAAATTGTCTTGACAAAAAGTAGAGTAGAAACAATAGTTAGAAAAGGTATGAATTAATTAGTTGGTTAGATACAGAGCACTGGGTTATTAGATTATATAAATGAATCGAACAGCTTAAAGAAATATACCTTTGAGGGGAGGTTGAGCTAATCTTATTTTGTTCATCAATATTTTATCTTCTTACTAAGGTCGGTGGCTGATTAGTATGTATGGTTGCCCTTGATGTTTGTCCAAGTCAGCACTTCTGGTTGGGTCGTCTGAATCGTCTTGCCGTAGTCCTTTGGGTACTTGTAGTCCAGACTTCCTCGGGGGTGCGTATCTCGATTTATAATTTTTCAAATCAAACTTAAAATGAGAATTTATTCTCTTTTTATAAATGAAAAGGGCCAGATTAATTTTAGTGTTAGGGCAGAAAAGAAAAATTATTTATTTTTAAAAGATCTGACTGAAGAGAAATGACTTGCTGCTGACTGAGCAAAATGAAACACTGAAGATTTCAGGCCAGTCCTTTTGCTCATAAGCATAAACCGGCGGCTGATTCAATCTTTAATTATTCAGGTTTCACCTGCTCCTTTGTTCTCCCTTTTTAATAAGGGAATTTTCAACTAGTTTTTATTTGATTTTTTCAAATCAAATATCTTCAACTTATTAGTCCCCTTTGATAAAAACCGCATTAATTGAGCGTATTAATAATCGCCGCCCTTTTAAAATATTGAGCATGAAAAAATGAGAAAAATTGGACAAGTATTTAAAAAGGAGTGGATTTTCAAAGCAAGATTTTATAGTCCAAATAATGGCACGCTCCAATTTAGAATTGGGTCGTTAAATAAACAATTAAGACAATGGTCTTTTGTGTGTGTGTAGTATTTCGCAATACTACAGCGTTCTCGCTCATAAGTCGCTCAATACTACAGCGTTCTCGCGCTTGAATCTTGGAAATGATTCAAGTTCTAACACAGGACGACCTATTTTCGAGCCATTGGAATTGATTCAAATTCTAACACACCTTTTATCTTGCAACTAGCTACCCTTTTTCCAAGTTCAGCTTTCTGCCATTACCTGGGTTCGAGAAATAACTTCTGGAGTTTCTTTTACTTAGGGTATAAAACGGAAGTGGGGAGTCTGGGGTTCGATACTTGAGCATCCCTTGCCTAGGTCTGTCGCATATTTGAATCGAGCCGATGCGGCCGCTAGTTACCGGGAAACGAGTGGGCGAATTGCACTTCCGGAACCATTATCACTTGCCCCCATTGGTTTGAGGGATCCGTTTTTTGTATGCCTGGGTTAAATCATCACTAGTATCCCTCCCTCCTCTGAGATTCATTGCATTAGTCCCTGGGGCTCCCAATCTGGGGGGGGGGGGGTTTGGGAACTTGGTTCCACTCTTTTTTTTTTTTTGGTATAGGAGTGACTAATCTTTTCAACTGTTTTGACTGTTTTGGACTTGAACTTTCTTCAAACCACTCGTATTTTACAGAAACTACTTGCTGCATAATTTGTAGCCCTTAATACATGTTCTAAGGACTAATCGTACTTTGGTGGCAATTGTGCTACCTGTAGCCATTCCGACTATACGGTTGTTGAATTGTTTTTTTTTTGCTAGTGACCCCATCGGTTGACAATAATAAAAGCAAGAGCAGAACATCTTTTTTGGACTATTCGTAGCTTTAGTGGCAATTGTGCTATCTGTGTTTTAGTGGCCAAATTTCTTTCACCTGGAATGTTTTTGACAAATCAACCATCAGATGGCATTATTAAGAGCAAGGATAGCTTATGATTTTTATCAATTGTTAGAGGTTGGACTAATTGTTCTTAAATCTGAAACTCTCTATTCAAATAGCTTAACTTCTCTAGAGTTTTGTTTGACAATGGTTGTTGCAGCGATGCAACTCTTGGCTGCTAAATCAAATAATTGAAACCTAGAACAGAACATCGGAGCCAAAATCGATTCTTCATGGGCAGTTATGTCATATTTTCTGTGTAGTGGCTGTGCATTCAATGAATCTCCTTTTTGGTTTAATCTCGACAACAGGCTCTATAGATGAGACTCCTCAGACAAAAAATTGCTTATGTCAATAGTTTTTAGGGTACAATTTTTTTGTTTTCAGAAAGTCAGAATCCTTACAGTATCACCGGAAAAAAGGTTATGTTAATTGAGACCCGAGAAAAGTATACGTAACGATCCTTTGATGTGGTTCAACGCTAAGGGTTGATTAATCGTAGCAAAGGGCTTCTAAAAATGAAGCTGGAGAAGCGTTTTTCTTGAGGCTTCTACATGTCAGAATCAAGAAGTAATTGGAAAATGACTGTTAAACGAGAGCTGATAAGAAGGATTTTTGATTCGATCTTATGCTGTTGCTCAACCCTCTGTTACGCTGCTGGGAAAGTCATAATGAGATGATTTTTTCCGAGGTACAACTTAATATTGCCAGAATCAATTAAATATCAACGAAGGAAAGGGTTTGTTGAATGAGAACTGATAAAAAAGACGTATAACGCTAACAGTAGGTTCAGATGAACCACAATTAAGAAAATTAGAGCGTTTTTTTTGCAGTTTAAATTGGAAGTTGCGGTCGCGAAATGAACTTCTCTGGCTAACTCTAGTCTTACGCGTGCTATGTTTGATCATGTGTCATTACTTTTCTGAATGATAAGATGGTTAGAAAGTTTAACGAACTACCGAACGAATTTCATGAAGTTGAACTCGGTAAATCCAAAGTTGAACTCAAAAGATCCGAGTTAATTGAGATCCGAGAAAAGTGTATGTAACGATCATATGATGTGGTCCAACGCTAAGGAGTGATTAATCGTAGCAGAGGGTTTCTAAAAATAAAGCTGGAAAAGCGTTTTTCCTGATGTTTCTGCATGTTGTCTATAGTTTTTTTTCCATTTTGCGATCCTGATAAATATGAGTTCCGTGAAATGGTTACGTGCAGTTTATATCTCTCAATCAACGGAGGTGATCTCGAGGATATCATCAAACCCGAAATGTAAAGAAAATGGAATTTAATGAGGAGTAACTATTGTAGAGTCAATTTCACTGCTAATTCGATCTATTTTTTCCCTCGAAAGTTGTGTGAAAAACAACAAGTTTGATCAGAGAACTGCGGGTCGTTTTAAAGAAGAGTTCCGATGATCGGAGATGATTGCCTTATGCTCAAAAACGTACTGCTGTCTGGATGAAAGTACTAAAGGACTTAAGTTGAATTCGAAAGGTATAAACCAATCAGCCCTGTTAAATCACTCGCCGATGCAGAAATATCGAAGTGTCTTACTTGAGCCAGCAGAAATTGAGACTGCGAACCGAGGATTCAGAGTGCAAAACAATGAAAAAGTGGTAATTTATGAACTGAAGAAGAACGTTCTTTCGTTTTTCTACCCGAAACGAGAAGTGCTAGCAGATGAAGTTCAAACGCTACCTCTAAATTTTTAAACTTCTTATATATTTGATTGCATTCGGTGTAAACTTTGCCCTAAAAATCGTATCTATAGATTCTGTTTTCAATCAATAATTTTTATAGGTGTTTTGTTTTGCTTATTCAAGATCTTTTTACGAAAACTGTTCATTTTTAAATATCCGTAATTTTTAAATAAAGCAAAATGGACTAGTGATACTGATTAATTAGCTCGATAAATAGTTCAAGTGAAAACAATTATCTGATACAATTTTTCCCCCTCGGTATAAAGATATCCACCCCTCATTTCGTATAAACTATTTACTGCTAACTTTTTTTGTCTAATGAGCCGTATCATATCGGGTTATTTATGCTGCGAAAAGTCGACTAGAAACATTTAAATTGCTTTCTAGGAGACACAAAAAAAATTAGCAAAACAATGAAATCATTTTTTAAACTTAGAACACTGGAAAATCTTAACACTATCATTCAAGTTAAACAGTTTAAATTTATCTGTTAGAGGTCTGTTTTTGCAAAGCTTCATTTTTCGCTACTCTGATTTTCTTGTCCTGTGATTGTCTCTGCATCGGATGCATAATTCCTCGAGGTTTCGGTTTACGTAGTTTTCGATCTTCCAAATCTTTGAATTGGGAGTTCTCAGTAAGCATCTGTGTTGTGGTAATTTGGGGCGTTTCGGGGTTCATCTCAACCAGCATCCGAAGTCCTGTTTCCATGTCGTTGAATGGGTAGTTCTCAGGAAGCATCTGTGTTCTGGTATTTTGAGGCGTTTCGGGCTGTATCGCAACCAGACCTTCCAAGTCGTTGAATGGAGAGTTCTGAGGAAGCATCGCGTCTTTAAGTGTTGTGGAGTCTACGTATTGGGTTTCCATATCAATCTGATTTATGTAGACGAATTCTCTTTTCCCGAGAGCTATCTCAGCTGCCAGCATGATTAGAATGCTTTTGAATGAAAAGTTCAAAAGAAGTTGAAATTTTTTGAAGCTGTTTGTTAAGCTAATTTAAATGCAGCTGACGAAACTGGAAT